AAAAACAAGAGTTATAAATTACCATCGAAGTCTGCTGACATGTCTATTTACAGGGCTGCCAATAGTTTTGATAATAAAGAGGAGTGGTCATTTTATTTAAAATTAATCATTATTATATGCAAAATTCTTGAGAAATTATTGCTAGTACTTACACATGAGTTACTCTTAATTTTTAATAACACTTTACCCAGAAAAAAAGTGACTGAGTGAACTTAAATTAACTGTAGTACATTGAAGTGATGGAACCCAATATTGGTATTTTATAGCAAACGCTTCTTTTTCTTTGTTCTTGCCCTTCTCCCATGCCGAGATCACACACCTTGTTTGTACTCCTGGAGTTTCTGCCATCTTTATTCATTTGTATTTAACACCAAGTACCTTGTTGTGGCTTCATCAATGTGTACAGCATGGTTACCAGTCTAGGGTCTTTCAGAATAAGAATTGAGTCACCTGACAGAGATAATAGTTCTGTCCATAGATTGCTGTTCTGAGGCCTTGAATTTATTCATAATGAGCCCCTTTCTCAAGTTGGGCATACATGAACATCACTTATGAAATTTGTCACTGTACTCCCATAGAATACATTCTTTAAATTCAGAGAGAGGCATATTTTCTTGATGTACCTTAAACTAAAAACTAAAGAAATGCAAATGTCATGTGGATCTCTACATTTAAATCTTTCACTATCTGACAATAAATCTGTGTTAGAAAACAGATTATGCAATATTTACATATTTAAAATAAATTCTTTTTTAGAGTCATCTTTCCAGGAAGAATTTAATCATTGTCTGTTCTTAATTTATCTCTAAATTTCTAAGATTTTTAGGCTATAGTTTAGTCTCTTTTAAACTGGAAAGGAGACTATGTTTGCATTCTCTACCATCAAATGTGCCTTTTTTAAACTTCATAAAATTTCTGTCTTCTTTGTTCTTTCTATATGGTATTCTCCTAGAAGAGGCCAGAGATTCTTCGGCTGATTCTTGACTAGTTGTTCAATGAACAAACCTGTCTGTATATTATTAGGTAGCTTTACATAAGAGATTAGAGGTTTACAAAGATTTTGTGTTTATTTCATTTAAAGTTCAGTCTCCAACTTTTTATTGCATATTTAGACAATTATCTGGTATAAAACGTTAGTGCTTGTTCCGACCAGACACTGTCAGAAGTGTTTTCCTTATAATGTCACATGCAATCTTCATCATAACCTATGAATTAGTAGCTATTATTATCCCCATTTTACAGATAAAGAGACTCAGGCAGAGAAGAGTTGAGGAACTTGCCTAGTGATAAAAAGTTGTAAAGCCAGGATTTGAACCCAGGCAGTCTGGCTCCCATGTCCAATTTCTTAACCTCTGCACTACTACTATCAGTATTTTAATCAGACCCATTAATTTAGACAGAGGTCAAAACAAACAGACATAGAGATAAAATAAAAATAGAGTTTGCAATTGTTTGAACGTACTTGTCACATTGAAATTTGCTTGTTTTGTCATTGTAACAGTGTTGAGAGGTGGGACTTGTAGGGCTCCACCCTCCTGAGTGGATTCCTTCTACTGTCAGAGGAGTGGGCTGGTTCTTACCGGAGTGGGTTTGTGGTCACAGAGTAAGGTCAACTCTCCTCCTGTCTGTCTTTTGCACTCTCTTCTCCCTCTGCCTTCCACCCTGGGACGATTCTCACCAGATGCTGGCACCATGCTTTTGGACTTTCCAGTTTCCAAAACCACAAGACAGATAAACTTCTGCTCCTTATGAATTACTCAGTCTGTGGTATTTTGTTATAGTAACAAAAAAATAGACTAGGACCGAGCTCTTGCTGAATAATCTGATGGCAGGAAACTGACAGAGCAAATTTTGTTTTCATTTAACTTAATTTTAAGATATAGCCAATTTTAAGGTAAAGTCAACAATTTATACTAATAAATATTTCTCTTATAAAGTCTTTAGATTTTTTAAGGAAAACTTTGTGTACAAGTAGCAAATGTAGGAGAAACATTATTGATGTAACAGATGTAAAAACCAATGATATGAGGTGAGCTTGTATAACTTTTTATAAAACTTTTGTGAAAAAAGATAATAAAAGAGAACATGTAGAAGGCAAGCTAAAAGAGGTAGAATCAAGAAGCCAGGCACAGGGGTTCACGTCTAGTCCCAGTTCCTTGAGAGGGAGAGGCAAGAGGATCCGTTGAGCCCAGCTGTTCATGGTTGCAGTAAGCTATGATTACACAGTACACTCTAGCTTGGGTTACAGCAGAATGGGAGCTTGTCTCTTAAAAATAAAAAAAGAAGTAGAAACAAGAATGCCAATTTTGGGGTGGCACCTGTGGCTGAAGGAGTAGGGCACCGGCCTCGTATACCAGAGGTGGTGGGTTCAAACTTGGCCCCAGTCGAAAACTGCAAACAAACAAACAAACAAACAAACAAATAAAATGTCGATTTTCCAGAACCACTGAATGCATTCCATATTGAATCCATTACACTTGAACTTAGCAGTGCCTGGCATCTCTTTAGACAACCAATAATGTGCATTTTTTTCCCCCAGTGTCACCAATTTAATTTTTGTCATTCCATTCTTTCCCATTTCAGTGGAGAATATCATTTTGTAAAAAGAGATAACAATAACTTCATTAGTTGAAAAATGTATCTCCACTCTGCAGGGTTACAGAACTTGAGTTTTGAATCCTTTAAGCTACAAGAATATCTATCTATCTGTCATCTATCTATCTATCCATCTATCCAATCCATCCATTTATCTAATTATAAACATAGATAATTATATTTAAACATACATAGAATTACACATGGATGTACACATATTCCTCTAGGTAATTTTTCCTATTTCTATATTCCCAATATTTCTGTGGCTCAAAGGAATAAGGTGCCGGCCCCATACGCTGGAAGTGGCAGGTTCAAACTCAACCCCGTCCAAAAAAACTGCAAAAAACAAACAAACAAAAAATACAAAAACATTCAATTAAAGCAACTGTATTTCCTGATTGAATCAAATTCCAATGCAGACACAAAATGTATTTATTCATAGGTATATCATTGGCAATCAAGTATCACAAATTATCTTTTTATTTTTTCTCTGGGCCTCAATTTTCCAAATCTTCTTGGCCTCTACTTCCAAAGAAGCACTTACGTTATTATTTCTCCTTCTATGTACAAGGAGGAATTGATCTCACTGTCAAACAGCAGAAGAAAATCTCTCATCCTTCCTGTCTTATCCACATGGCTGTTGGGCTGTGCCTTTACCTTTTAGCTGAACAGGAGGTAGACATGAAAGAAGCAAGAGCAGTAAGAATAGTTTCACATATAAAACTTCATAAACTAAATACCTTAACTACTATCTTATTGGACTACAGAATGACTCTCACAAAAGAAGCCAGGAAGTCCCCGGTATCGTAGGATGACTGGCTATTATTAATAGCTGTAGGTTGTAACTGCTTCTCAATATATTTTATTAGTCTCAAACTGGCCTGTTGTTCCCCTATCCAGAATTCTCCCATACCTGGACCATCATTTTCCTCTCCTCGTCAATATATTGGTACGTATAGACAGTGCCAAAAAATGCATACACGTTGTAAGTAAGGAAAAGATTGTATTAAGATTGTGATACTCAAGTCACATTAGACTTCTGAAACCACAAGAGATGCTCAAACGTGACTTAGATTCATCTTTCGTTATTGGTGTATAGTGAATATTACAATTTTAATACAGTTTTATTCTTTCTTAAAATGTGTATGTATTTCTTGAGCACCCTCTATATTTTTTGGAAAACAACATGAGAGTGAAAAGAGTAGCCCTTAATGGCAGGCAGACCTGGATTCAAATGTACATCTCTTCACTTGTTGGGGGTCCACAGGCAAAGGGCAATTACTTCCTCCCGTTGGTTTCGTCATCTCCTAAAAGGAGCCTTCTTTGAGCAGTTGGCAGGATTCACTTCAATGCCTGTCAGGGCCCCTGATTAATAGCAGTGTCTGGGTAAAAATGAATTGGAGTTCGCTCTCCATCCCCCAAATTGTGTGATTAAAATTTGAAAATATTTATCCTCCCTTAATTTCCATCACTGCCATTAAGTGCAATCAGTATCCCTGAGCTCACTCAGCTGGGGGAGGAAAAATGATGCTAGAGTTCTCATTGCGAGAGTTCTTAGTATTTAAAAGACCTAAAGTTGGTGGTGTTATTGTACCATGAGAGTGATTTCACAGGGACTTGTCAGCCCAGATCATAGTCATCTGTGAAAAAAAAAGATAAGGATAAAAATAATAGCTTCACGTGGAATAAACGGAAAGCAATTAGGAAATTATAACCAGCCATTTTTTGTATTTTCTTGCTTTTACAAGATCTGTAGACTCTGAAAAGCTCCTCGGAACATCTGGAGGACCAAAACACGATAGGCAGGCGATGATGGGGGCAGAGGCACCACGGCTGCTATGAAGTTCCTGCTTTAAACTGAAACAGCAGCTCTTTGGCAGAACCACACTGCTGTCTGTGGTAGATGACACCTAAGCGCTTCGATGGGGAGATAACTTCTGATGGGTGTGATCACACACGCTTATGTCCCCTGATTTGCCAATAGCAGCCGAGGACGCATCACTTCCTTGCACGGAGTTTGTGCACAGTTTATGTTTGCACCCGGGGGCAAGACAGAATAATAAGGCCAAGAAGGAGGGGAGGCTGTGGGAGTAATAACTGGGGAGGACTTCACACCATCCACCCGGGGGGGAAGGGAGGAGGGCCGAGGATGGAGGGTGTTCCCTCTGCTTCTGCGATGTGTTAAGTGGCAGGAGAAATTTTGAAAGCTGCTGTGAGGAGGAGCTAGTGACTGGGTTTTGGGGTGTCTTGTACCCCACCCTCCTCACTTGTAGGAAAACCTCTTTGCATTCAGAGGTAATTGAAGTGGAAGGAGGATACGGGCCAGGGAATAGGGGGAGAGCAATCCTCCTGCGCTCCTCCTCCCTCACTTATCACTTGCCTCCTGACTCTCTTCCAAGCTCAGCTGCACCAAGCTGGCAGCAGACTTGCCTGCCCAAGTGCCAGCATCTGCTCAGCTGCCCCCTGCGACCCAGGCTGCCCTATTATCTGGTCACCGTCCCTGGCCATTGGGACTGCTTCTGATGGCTGTGGCCTGCGCTGCCCCAGGGAGCATCTTCTGTAAGCAGCTCCTTTTCTCTCTCCTGGTGAGTAACAAACACAGGATTAGGGAAGCATGTTACTACCTGCTTCCTCCCTTCAGCCTGGGCCTGAACGAAGCAAGGGGTGTGGATGGAAGGCAGAGGAGATAGACAGGGAAAAACAAAAACAGATCTGAGGGTAACGCAGGGCAGAGTTGAGAGACTTGGGGTTAGGAGGGGACGCGTTTGGCTTACTTCTCAAACTTCCACCGCAAGGATGGAAAGTTTTTCAAGGGAATCCCTTGCTGTGGTGTTTTTCTAAGGAGTAGTCAAATGAATTTATTCCTTAGGCCATTGGTCTAGAAAGTTCTAAGGTTTGTTTTTTGCTACTAGTCATTAAGTAGACTCATGGTCCCACTGATCTGTAAAAAGAGGAACAGGATTCTGGGTGAGTATGCAAATTATCCAGGACTTTTGGGATTTTACCAGGAAATGCCAAGAGAAATGGCAAAACACTCAGTTAAGCAAGCATTTTAACTTACGAAGAATAATAAAGACGTGGTAGTCATTGAAAACACCATGAGTTTGGTTTCCACTTGGGTTTTTAATAGCTGTGTAATTGTGTATAAGATGCTATTTTTTCTTTGGTGAACAGGGAAAAAGAGAGAAATTGTCCCACATCCGCCTCTGGCATTTCTGAGTTGTTAATTTTCTCCCCCGCCCCTTCATTTTAGCAAAATATTTTTGCTCTAAATTGTATTTGCAGAATTTGAAGGTGTTATTGCGTAGTGATAAACATTTTTTTTCATATATATGGTGCATGTTGATTTCTCACCCTGTAACTATTAGAAGTCGGGACATTTTAAGTTGGTATCAGTTAGGTAAAATGTGGTACACATTTTCCAAGGCTGGTTTCCAGCCAGATTTATATTGCTTTTGCTCCTTGCCTTACCCAGGATCCCTTGACCCATCATCCCATGTCCATTCATTCCTGGCCCCCAGGCTGACTAAAAGGGTACCTGATCCCAATTCCCTCCAGTCACTTAGCTGCCAATTTAATCTGAAGACTGGAATAGTATGTAACGAGTGGAAACGCTCAGTGGCTCTGCTTGCAGAGGGAAGACCAGCCAGATGGGGTCCAGGAATGGGAGTGTGTGTGTAACCCTATGAGAATGTCGTGTGTGTGTGTGTGTGTGTAATATACTCCTCACTGCATAGCAAGTTTTCAATCACTCATGAACTGTATATATGATCGTGGTCCCTCAAGATCACCATAGAACCGCCCATACCAGTGTACCATTTTTTATCTTTCATGTCTATATGTTTACTGTGCCTTTTCTGTGTTTAAATATGTTTAGATACACAAATACTTTCGGATTACAATTGCCTGCAGGGTTCAATACAGCAACATGCTGTAGCCTGGGAGTAGTAGGCTATACCATATAGCCTAGGTGTGTAGCAGGCTGTATCATCTAGGTTTGTTTAAGTACACTCTGTAATGTTCACACAATGACAAAAGCACCTAACAAGGTGTTTCTCAGAACGTATCTCCATGATTAAGCAATATATGGCTGTCTCTCTCTATATATATACATAGATCTGTGCACATATAGGTATATGTACAGAAGTATGCATACATGTGTATATGTATAAATATGCATATGTATGCATGTGTATATTTCCGATTACAAAATGCTTTTTCCACATTATATATTTAGACAACTATTAACAGAATGCTTTATGCTCATAAAGTTCTTTATAAAATTGCAATACAAAATGTATACTGATAGCGTTTGTTTGCATCTCTTGTAGTTGCAGAAGTCAAACATGAGTTGAGTATTTCAATTTTACTACAGTTTTTTCCTTTCTTAAAATGTGTGTACGTTTTGTTGATACCCTCTGTATATACTTTAGTGCATTTCCTACCATTAGGGATAAACACATTTTAAAAAGTCAAATAATAAGAAGTTCTCAGGTTTTAAAAGTTAGTTATTTACATGAAAACTGAACACAAGCGTGACTTTTAAAATTCTAACTTTTCATATTATCTGCCTAAGAGCAATTTATAAAATTACCTATTTTAAAAGGCTACTACAGCATCATCAATAGACTTGAATTGAGTTCGAAAAGAAGTGAACATCCTTCTCTTTTTTGCTCACAAATAATGGGTCCAATAATTCTAGAGATGTGTCCAGAGAGAAATCGATCAGAAAACTGACCTATACACTTCAGAAAAAATCTAGTTCTGTTCTATTTTATATTCAAGTAATAAAAGAGCAGTCATTTTGATAAAGGAAAGAAAAAGCAAATCAACAGAACATGGCAAGAAGAAGTAAAATATGTTTTGACTGTGTTGATAGCTTTGAAGTGCTAGCTTTTATTTTTCAGATAGTATCTCTCTTCTTTGAACTACCTAGCTTTTAAACACAATAGTTACGTCTTTAATTATAAATCTTTACCCATTTGAAGGTTACTCTCTATATTTTGAAATATGTTTCTTGTTAGACTGGTCATGTAAATTGAGATCATTTAAACTTTGAAGTTTTTGCCAAGTCAGTCTGAAAAGTGATTTGAAACACTGAGTATCTGTAGGCATTATCCTTCATGAGGTTAAAAAAAGGCTCAAATACTAGAAAGGCTCAAAAATCTAAAAAATATTTTATCAACTATACCCTCTAATAGTGAAAATTTTGGTTTGAGAATTATTATAGACATGTGATTATTCTATTCTAGAGTTAAGTATTTTCTTCAAGCTAAAAAATCAGAATGGCATTTATTAATGGTCTTAGAGATATACATATAACCTTCTACAGCCAATGGTTTATAACACATGTTCTTACAATGATACAACATGAGTTAGGTCCTAAAAATTACTGTTCCCTTAACTTTTTCATACATATTAAATGGCAGTGATGCCCCTTATGCCATTTCCTTTGCAGGTTCCTTTTGAAATGAACACGAAAAACAACTAAAGGATTAAAAGATTAATTTCTTTTCAAAATTGACAATATTTTTTACCAATAAGACAAAATTGTAGTGTGAGAATTTATGATCAAATGTAATTCCTTTTTTTTCTTCCTTTTGAGGTTCTGACACTATTTTGCGATGCTTGTCAGAAAATTTCTCTTCAAGTTCCTTCTCATCTTCAAGCTGAAACACTAGTAGGCAAAGGTGAGAAACTACGTAAAGAATTTTTAGTTGTAACTTGCTACATTTAGCTTTAGGCTGCTCTTATGTGCATAAAGATTGGGATAAAAGCCACCTAGTAGCTACTTGGTGTTCAAATTGGACATACAATAAAAACAGGCTACTTGTGTTTCGGTAGTGGTTAGAAATAATTAAACTTATAAAGTTAGTTGTGTGCTTTTCTTGCCAGAAAAATTAGCAAACATCAGAGGACTAAATTATTTTGGCTTAGTTCAAACACAGCAAGACACCAACACCAGAAGCATAGTTTAATTAATATGAACTAATGGGCTGCTAAAATTCCAAAGCCAAAGTTCCTTGATTGATCAGACATGAAATGGATGTGTCAAAAGTTAAAGGCCCCAAATGTGTACTTAAGTTTGATTACAACAAATAAGTATCCACCAAGAATGTGTGTGATGTATTTCATAGATTAACTTGTGAAAGCAAATACCATTTCAATAGGTCTTACTGCTACAACCACCCCTGATGGTTATTCTGAATCCAAAGGTAACATTGTTTTCATCAAAAATTTTCACTGGCTTGAATGCACATTTAGAAAAATACACCTTGAATATAGAAATAGTATCCTTTCTAAGACAGACATTGTTTTTCCCAGTGCTCTAAGGTCTAAACCATCCACATTCTAAAGATACGTAATAAATACACTCAATATGTTAAATATGAATCTATAAAGGAAATATTTTGACAACAGCCACAATGCACATCAGTCATTGGTTTTATTAAACCTCCAAAAGCTGTTACAGAAAAATTATTTGCAACATCACTGAGAAATATTCCTTAAGAATAGACTTGTTTTCTTACTGGTGGCAAGATCATTTTCGCTATCAAAAATTATTCCAAACAAGTTCAAAAAATCTACTGACATCGTAAGTTATACTTCTTATACATATCCTTTGTAAATGAGACATAAAAATAAAGAGAATGAATCCAGCGACACTAGGAAAATATTTTATTTCTTAAATTAATTTATGATGAAAGTGGTGGAAAATCTAACTCCATTAATCATGTGATTTAATTTTCATGGCCACTAAGTTTTAGAATAGCAGGTGCACACACATTCCTGGTGTAACTCCCTCTTTCTGCTTCTCATCCACTGACTTGCGGTTGCCATTCCTGTAAAACTTGTTCTATTCCTGTTTCATCTGACAAATTGCTGTGCCATTTCTTCCCTGCAGTGAATCTGGAGGAGTGTCTCAAGTCGGCCAGCCTAATCCTGTCTGGTGACCCTGCCTTCACCATTCGAGAAGATGGCTCAATTTACACAACACGTGACCTCAGCTTGCCTTCTGAAAGGAAGAGCTTTTTCATTTTTCTCTCAGACAGTCAGAGACAAGAACAAAAACAGATAGAAATTGTACTGTCAGCAAGAGACAACAAGGTATGATAGCTAAGGATGGAAGTAGCCTAGTACACTAATCTGCTTCAGAAGAGTCTTTCATTTTGTGTACTTCCTTTTAGGTCAAAATCATGGGTCTTGAATGATCATTTGCTTATCTTTTCCCACTTGTAATTAATATAAATAAAGACTAGACTGTTAAGGAGTAATAGAGGATTAGCAAAATTTCATAAAATGGACAACTCTGCAGGAAGGGAGCAATGTAAGACCACCATCGAAGGTTTCAGACAGTGCTTTTTGGTGTAGCGATAGGAACAACCATCCTGAGGAACTAGAACAAGACGGGTGGGTCTAAAACATGGAGAAAAGTGATTCTGACTGGAGAAGTGGCCTCTACCCTGCCTGTGGGTTTTACCCAGCTGACTGTGGTTTGGGTGTCTCTTTAAAAAGGAGAAGCATACCACAGTCTCACATAAGCACAAAAAAGTTACTGTGGTAAGTTATCTCAGCTGTGTTAAATAATGAATTTTTACTATGGAAGAAATGGTAAAATTTTAATAATAGGTTTATTAATTAAATGTTATTAGTTAAAATTTTTTTTGGTTTGTGTATATACAAATACAATATTTACAGTAAATAAAATATTTGAAATTATAAGAAAAAAAAGGAGAAGAGATCCTCTATAGCTTCCTCTCATCTTAATGTAAAATTCGACTGA